CCACTGTACTAAATCAAAGTTTGTAGCATAACAAGATCCCTAGGTGATTTGTATGCCATTAGGTTTAAGGAGCACTGGTCTAGAGGGGAAGAGACCTCATTGGTACCTCTGGCAATAGGTATAATGCTTTCCTTTATCCTTCTTTCGTCTCAGGTCATGTGAACTTTACTATCAGTACTAAGATTCTGGACAGCAACGAACTCTGTGGGGGCCAGAAAGGGTTTGTTCCAGCAAAGGGCGGGAGCGACACACTCATCAAACCAGTTCTGGTCAAGGTGCGTTTTCTGCAGGCCTAGCTTCAGAGGTGCAGATAGCCACCAACCCAGGGATGTTCAGTGTGTGTCTAACATACCAGTTAGTCTCTCACAGAGCTTTATTCCAACTCTAATCAGTTAGCTCACCTTCTTCCCTGGTCCCTTTCTACTGTTAATGATGTGCTTAACCCACACCAATGGTCTAAAAAAGCCTAAAGCACTTTACTAGTGCCTGGTACTTCATAGTCACTCAATGAATGCTAGTTTCTCCTATTAAAATCACTAAAGTTATCCTTAGCTACTTTTTTTGTTTATCCTATCATGAACCCCCATGTAATTCTGCTCAGAAGTTTTCTAAACTTCTAAGAAGCAGAATTACTTGGGGGTTCATGATGTCCTTAGCTCTAGTTTCTCCTATTAAAATCACTAAAGTTATCATTAGCTACTTTTTTTATCCTATCATGAACCCCCATGTAATTCTGCTTCTTAGAAGTGTAATTCTGCTTCTTAGAAATAAACCCAGGGATGTTCAGTGTGTGTCTAACATACCGGTTAGTCTCTCACAGCAGCCTTATTCCAACTCTAGTCAGTTAGCTCATCTTTCTTCTTCCCTGGTCCCTTTCTCCTGTTAATGATGTGCTTAACCCTCACCAATGGTCTAGGAAAAAGCCTAATGCACTTTACTAGTGCCTGGTACTTCATAGTCACTCAATGAATGCTAGTTTCTCCTATTAAAATCACTAAAGTTATCCTTAGCTACTTTTTTTGGTTCCTGATTCAACCAAGGCTTATGTTGCCGTTCTGGGTAAGCAGTTAGAGATTCTTGGCTCAAAAAGGAAAGGAGGCTGCCAAGGTGTGGAGTGGGGCGGGGCATGTGAACCTACCTGAAGGAAGGTGTGGTGGATTAGAAGTGATGAAGGAAGAAGAACGTATTTTATATAGTGGGGAATATGGCCAGGTACAGCCAGATTGGACAGCCGTAGACTCTAGTTAAAAACAGAAAAGGATCTGGGCAGGAGGAAGTTGAAGGTCTTTGAAGCTTGATATGTATTTAGGTTTAGGTGATCTATCAATTGGGTGGAGGGGAGACAAACTGCTTACAGCAACCATTTAAAAAATGAGCATTTGGTCTAGTTGAGTATAGTTTGGGAAAGGTTCAACCATATTTACATAGGCAGGACACTTCACTCCTTTGGGCAAGGAGAGGAAATGAGTAGAAAAGCATGATCTTGGAAAATAATATCAAACGGAGTTAGGCTCTCAGTTGTGCCATTTAATAGCCATGTGACCTTGAATAAGTTAGTGAACAATTCCAATCCGAGACAAACTGCTTACAGCAACCATTTAAAAAATGAGCATTTGGTCTAGTTGAGTATAGTTTGGGAAAGGTTCAACCATATTTACATAGGCAGGACACTTCACTCCTTTTGGGCAAGGAGAGGGGGTGAGTAGAAAAGCATGATCTTGGAAAAATCATATCAAACTGAGTTAGGATCTCAGTTGTGCCATATGACCTTGAATAAGTTAGTGAACAATTCCAATCTTTCTTTTCTCTCTGGAAGGCAGTGATAATAACCTATCTCTCAGGATTGGTATAGATTAAATACAAAGTTCCCGGCATATCTAGCTTATAATAGAAACCCCTAAAATGGTGGGTTCTTTCTTTACTCTCACCCCCTTTCAAGATCCCTTCCAGGTTAAGATTTGCCCATTTTGACTGTATTTGATTCATATTTCCGGGATAGCACTCACAATGCTGTAATTGAATTACAGCTCACTGCCTGTCTTCTACAGTGCATTGTGAACTCCTTGAGGACAAGGGCCATGTCTTTTTTTATTTCTGTTCCTAGTACATTTCCTACAACATAGTTGACAGTCAGTACATATTTATGCATTTGAATTGGACTCCACGGCTGAAATGCAAATAGATGTTCATGAGCCATTTAGTTCAGGCTTCCTGGCTTATGAAGTATACGGAGTGGTCAATAGATATAACTTGGAAAGCAGTATCAGGATTGTGTATATTTGGGAAGGATATGGTGATTTGGAGGGTGGTGTACATATATATAGTGGAGGAACGTAGAGATTGAGTCTAAGTATTGCCAGTTTTGTTATATCACTCACATCTCCAGTGACATGTTTTGTTTTGCTTTAAAGCCCAAAACTCCCTCAGGTGGCCTATGTACCACTCCATATACTACAGTACCTTGTACATTCCCAATATTGTACTACTATATTATATTGTACTACTATATACATTGTACTACTATATTGTATTACTATATACATTGTACTACTATATTGTATTACTATATACATTGTACTACTATATTGTATTACTATATACATTGTACTACTATATTGTATTACTATATACATTGTACTACTATATTATATTACTATATTGTTTACAATGATTTATAATTGCAATGTATTGTAATTTTTTGCCCCTCTGATTATGAGCCCCTCTGATTATGAGGTAGAGACATGTTTGACTTACTGTAATCTCCAAGATCACTGAGTAGATACTCACTAAATGATAGATAATAATGTTAAGAGAATGATAATAACTTTTATGAGTTCCTTCTTCTACCACCACCTTCTTTCTCTCTCCTTTGGTGTATTGTAATTTTTTGCCCCTCTGATTATGAGCTCTTTGAGGTAGAGACATGTTTGACTTACTGTGATCTCCAAGATCACCGAGTAGATACTAAATGACAGATAATAATGTTAAGTGAATGATAATAACTTTTATGGGTTCCTTCTTCTACTACCACCTTCTTTCTCTCTCCTTTGATCTAGTAGATTGCTTATCTCTATTTTGTTTAGTTCTTTTCCCGGAGTTTTGTTCTGTTCTTTTTGTTTTGTCCCTGTGTTTGGTTCTATGTATTGGATAGAGCTGATTGGTAGAGTGGCATCATGTAGTATACTAGAGGCCCAGTGCACGAATTCATGCATGGGTGGGGTCCCGGCTGGCCCGCCCTGATTGGGGCTGATTGGGGCTGATTGGACACCACCGATCGGGGTGGGAGGGCTGGTCAGGGGCAGGGCCAGCCAGGGGGAGGAGCCATGGACAGTTGGCTGGCCGGACAAGTCCCCAATTGGGGTGGGAGGGCTGTTCAGGAAGGGGCTGGCTGGAGGAGGGGCCACGGTGGTTGGCTGGCCAGCCCTGCTCCCTAGTCAAACTCCTGGTTGAACTCTGGTGGAGGGGACAATTTTCATATTAGCCTTTTATTATATAGGATTCTGTACCCTAGAAGCATAATTTCTGAATTGAACTATTCCTCTACCTGTCCCCTTAATGCCATTCCTTCTTGCACTCTATCCTCTACCTCTTTCATTCTGTTTATTTCAGCCACTTGTATGGTCTTCTCCCTGACCTTATGCCTCCCAGTTCTTGTCCTCATTAATGCCTATAAATGCCCCCCTTTTCCAGGCCTTCTAGGGCATTATATTTCCTCAACTTCCCTCTGGAACCATACACCATAATAAACTATAGAACTATGGCACCCTCACCTAGAAATCCCCCTTCATGCCATGCTTCCCTCTTTACCCAATAGGCTGACAGCCTTTGTCACCAAATGCTTTGGCCAAGCTCGGGAATTCATCTTCATTGATGACAAGAACATCCAGGATGCTCTCAAGTGGATGGCGGGAAATCAGCTCCCCAGCGGCTGCTATGCCAATGTGGGAAAGCTTATGCACACAGCTATGAAGGTACAGATCTGCCCAGGCCCTGCCCCCACACTGTTTCTGGGAGGTACTTGTACCTCTGACTGAGCTGAATCAGAAGAGAACTGGCCTGGGAACTGGTGTTGTCAGGTCTCAGTCTAGTCTCTGGGTGACTTGGTCAATATACTTAACCAGTCAGAGCCTCAGCTTCCGTGTCTATAAAATGAGAGTATGAACTAGAGCATGGTTCTCAAAGTGTGGTTCCAGAACAACAGCATCAGCAGCACCTAAGAACTTGTTTGAAATACAAATTCCAGCCCTGGCCCCAGAGCTACTCTGAGAAACCCTGGGGGTGTGGGCTAGCAATTTGTGTTTTGAGAAGCCCTCATGACTCTGATACTTGCTACAGTGTTGGGCTTTTTTTTTCCCTCAAGGTTTGATTATTTTTATTATTTAAAATATGTTTTTTTTTATTTTTCAATGTATTAGTCTCAGGTGTGTAGCGCAGTGGTTAGACATTTATATCACTCTTCCCCCCATAAGTCTTGTACCCAGCCAACAACGTATATAGACATTACAATATTATTGACTGTGTTTCCTAAGCTGTACTTTACATCCGCATGACTATTTTGATACTTGCTAATGTTTGATAACCAGTGGACTAGAAGATCTCTGAGCCTTTTATTATATCTCTAAATCTGAAGCGAAGTGATTTGCTTTGGTGGGCACTATTAGGCAGCCCAGTCATTTGTAAGGGGTTTTACTCTCTGTGGGGCACTGTTCTTAAGTACTTTACTTATTTGATATATTTTAATGTTTACAACAAATCATTGAGCTAGGTACTGGTATGCCCTCTTAATCACATTTTACAGATGAAGACACTAAGGTTAAATAAATTGCTAAAGGTGAATGCTAATGAGTGATAGGACTAATCTGAACCCAGCAACTGGACTCCAGAGACACTGCTCCTGGCCATTACTCCATTGTCTGTCCCTCCCAAACACAGGGGAGGTGTTGATGTGCAGGATAACTTGTTCAATTCAGAACATGCCAGTGAACGAGACATTTGCATGAATTTTCCTAAAGAAATTATTTATAGTGCTGTTGAAGGACCTGGATTAAAAATCTTGAGCATTGAAAAAAATCTCAGTATAAGATTTGTTAGTATTCCTTATGCTGAATGTTATCTGTACTTCCCAAGTCTCTTCCTTCTCTTATGCCCTGTGTGACATATACCTGGGAGTAGAACATCCTGGAAATTGAACAAGATCTCAGAGGTTTTTGTCCTCCTTTCTGATTAGAGCTACCTGGCCTGTTGACTATCATGTGTATAGTCAATTGTAGTGATTTGCATAGGAGCTCCAGAGTTAAACTCCCTGGATTCAAATCCCAGTCCTGCTTACTAGCTGTGCAATCTTGAACAAACTATTTAAATATCTCTGTGTTTTTCCTTTTATCTCTAAAATGAGGATAATAATTCAGATGAAATATTTTTTTAAAATTTGTTAAATCTTTCTGTGAAAGACGTTAAACAGGGAAGGTGTCACTTACTCTCCCCTGGAGAAGAGGCTGGGCTTTGTGCTACTTGAGGGGACATCCATTTGAGGAGGCTCAGATTCCATAAGCATCCGAGAATAAGAAGTCTCTTTTTACCACGCCCCTCTTTTTTTTTATCTCTCTTTGTTTCTTGGGTTTCCTCAATACCCACTCAGAGCTGAAGACCTCCTGTTACCTCCCACAGGCTACTGTTTAAGGCTGTGCAGTGGTTGAACTCCGCCCAGTTCTCCCTCATTGTGTGTCCTGGAGTCAGCCTGTGGAAAGGAGTGCTTTTGTTTTCTTTTTTTCAAAGATATTTTTATTGATTTTTAGAGAGAGAGAGAGAGAAACATCGATGTGATAGCAAAATGGGGAATTGAACCAGTAACCTTTTAGTTCAGGGGATGATGCCTAATCAACTGAGCCACACCAGCCAGGGAGAAACTATTTTTGTGTCTTGGTTGTTTTTTAAGTAGCTGGCCTTGCTTTCCAGCCATGGTGACTGGCAGCATGTGACCCACACGGGACCAATCAAGTTCTGCCCCAGAATATTTTAACCTGCAACTGTGTGGACGAGATTTTTCCTCTTGAGAAGTAAATTAGGGAAAGCAAAAAACCTAGAGTTCCTGGTTTTTATGGTGTCAGCTTCATGAGAAATACCTTATAAATTCAGTTCTTCACTTTCACTTTTTAGGACCCAATGGTGAGTCGGGGACTGCAGTGTCTCAGGAATTCTGTCTCCTCCACCACCAACCTCTACACACTGGCCCTACTAGCTTATACTTTCTCTCTGGCTGGGGCGATGGACATCAGAGACGTTCTTCTGGAACAGTTAGAGCAGCAGGCTATCATCTCAGGTGTGTTGGCTGTGTTAAGAATTTTTGGAAATGGTGAAAATATGCTGTGAGTTATCTATAATTTCCCCTCGTTTCCATACTCCACATATATTCAATTCTAGGATTCATTTTATTAAAATTTATTGTCATAAAATCATTGTTGAGAGTTTTGTGGGAAAGCCCATGTAAGTCCTCAAAGGCATTGCTATACTTTTAACAGGAAGAGGAGATAGATGGTATGAGCTAGTCAGAAAACTTCCTGGCATTACCCTTTTGCAGGTATGAAACAACTCTTTGGTGTAAGATCACTCTGATTAAGTAAAAAAAAATGCTGAAAATTAATAAAATTTTATTAGCCAAAAACATGCCCCAAATGTGTAAGATTCTTTTAGGAAGTTTCTACCTACGTGTCTCTGTTAGAATTAGAATTTATAGGGTTGTTTTCATATAATTGCCAGAGGCATTTACTGGTGCTCCCAGCTTTACTTTGGGGAATTATGTGTGAGTGTACACACACACACACACACACCTGCATATATATTAGGGCCAATAAATCAGAAGGTCTTGAGAAATAGTTTTTTGTAACTCATGATTAATTTTTTTGGTATTTTATCTGCTTTAAGGTGTAGAATTTACGAAGTGAATATGGGAAAGTCATTTCCTCCCAGGACCTCCCTAATTATGCTTCTTTCTCCATAGGAGAGTCCATTCACTGGAGCCAAAAACCTACTCAGCCATCGGATGCCAGTCCTTGGTCTAAGATGGAGGCTGTAGATGTGGAACTAACGGCATATGTATTGCTGGCTTGGCTTAGCAAAGCCAATCTGACTCAAGTAAAGAGGACATGTATAAGTATGGATAAATTTTATATTAAATCAGAAAGCCAGTTATGGGGGCTGTAAGCATAAAAGCAAGATTTATGGGCATACCTCTTTCTACTATTTCCTAGTAAGATGTAGTCTAAAAAGTTTACAACCTAGATTCTAAGGTTGAGATTCAGTGGTTCTCAACCTTCCTAATGCTGCGACCCTTTAATACAATTCCTCATGTTGTGGTGACCCCCAACCATAAAATGATTTTCCTTGCTACTTCATAAGTGTAATGTTGCTACTGTTATGAATCGTCATGTAAATATCTGATATGCAGGATGCATTTAGGCGACCCCTGTAAAGAGGACATGTATAAGTATGGATAAATTTATATATTAAATTAGAAAGCCAATTATGGGAGCTGTAAGCATAAAAGCAAGCTTTACCTCTTTCTACAATTTCCTAGTAAGATATATTGGTAGTCCAAAAAGTTTACAACCTAGAAAGAAAGCTCGGAAAAGTTCTATATATTACAAAGCAGGGTTTGGTTATATAACATAAGAAAGATACGAAAGGTATAAATATTGAATTTGAAAAAGGAGGGTCGCGACCCACAGGTTGAGAACCGCTGACCTAAAAGAAAAGTTCTATATATTACAAAGCAGGGTCTGGTTATATAACATAAGAAAGATACAAAAGGTACAAATATTGAATTTCAAAAAGGAGAAGGAGCTCTCATCAGCTTGAGGGATAAGAAATGTCTTCCCAGGGGAATTGCATTTGAGGTAGATCTAAAAGGATATGTAAACATTTGGTAAGCAGCTATTGAAAGGAAGAGGGATTTGCAAAAGTATAGAGTGGTTGTTGGGGAAAACTGATTTGGCTGAAACACAATGGGACTTAGGTTGGAAAGATAGGGTAGGTTCATATTACTGGTATGAAGAGCCTTACATATTAGATTCAAGATTTTGCCTAATTCTGAGGAGCTATTAAATTTTTTAACTTTGTTTCAGAAAGATTAATCTGTTACTTGGTGTATGGGATGATTTAGAGGTGGGAAATACTGGATTTGAAGAGATCAAGAGGTTATTTAGATTAAGGGTAAGGAGAAATTGAATTAGTGGGGTAGCAATTGGGGGAAAAGCTATGATAAATTTAAATGTCATAAAATGATCACAAAGAGAGTCATCATTAATTTATTTGCTCTGCAAATGTTATTAAAACATACCATGTCCAGGTTACCGAAGATACAAAAGTAAACAAGAAAACACATTTCTTGTCCACATAGAGATTATATTATTTTTGATATTAAGGCCATTTTCATTGAAGTTATAACATGTAAATTATGCATGGAAGAATGAACAGATTGTTACAGGTAGGGTGTCTGGTAAAGATGTTAAGTGCACTGAGCTTGAGTATGGTAATAATTTAATTGGAATTTTAAAATATTATATGGTACACTGCCTCCTTATTTCAGGGAAGTTCTTGGCCAAAGATCAGGAAAGACTTCCTTCTTCTTGTTGAGCCCTAAATAATTACAATATATAATTTAAAAAGCAGTGCATCAGATCTTTAGAATTCTCAGTGACAGATGAATGCCAGAATTGTTTTTTACTATAATCCTTGGCTATTCTAAGAGTCACATATCACCCGCATCAGTTTTTGAGCTGATGTGTGGTCCCATTACTTGAATTGTTTCACATGTGCAAGCAATAAAGCCCTCCTTGGTCCTAGTTCACAAAAAGTTGTTTGTCGATTGTCAAGCTGCAAAAGAATGACTTGTTCACAGCTTCTCCAGGAGGGTGACATGCAAGCAATAAAGCCCTCCTTGGTCCTAGTTCACAGAGGGTAGACAAAAAGTTGTTTGTTGATTGTCAAGTTGCAAAAGAATGACTTTTGTTCACAGCTTCCCCAGGAGGGTGACATGTCTTCTTCTTTTTATGTGACAGTGTAATGTCTAAATACGACAGTTGTCTTTCATTTGGGACAGGAGGGAGTGGGTTCCTTTATTCAGTAATAGCTGTCGTATTAAGTGTTGAGAATGTAGAAATTCTCATAACACAGAGTAAGAGAGGACAATACTTCATTCTCCCTCGCCTCCCACCCCCTCGCAATTGTAATTTATATAAATAAAGAGAAAATGTTTTCAGACTGGAAAGGTTCAAGCTACATGATGCCAGCCAGGTTCTCTTGGTGACAGATGATCTGTCTTATTCCCAGAAGAGAAAAGAGGATTGTCACATGGCATAATGGCTAAGAAGCCTTGGCCTGCAAGGAGGGATTTCCTAATACTCTCTGCAACTGTGCCATAGAAGATTATTACATAGTTAAATAATTGAAAAATGTGCACTATCTTCTAAGAAGCCTTGGCCTGCAAGGAGGGATTTCCCAATACTCTCTCCAACTGTACCATAGAAGATTATTACATAGTTAAATAACTTTGAAAAATGTGCACGATCTAGGGCTATCAACTTGCTGCTGTTTCTTCCTCAAGGTGGCTCTGAGGGCATCTTCGCCTCCAGTAGAACAGTCCCTCTCTATCTGTCTACCTTGTTTGTAAGGAAAATAATTTAACTCTGCAATGTCTAAAGTTCTTCTCAACTCAAATTTGGTTATCTTGTTTCTTCATGCTAGACGGTGCTGAGATACAATATTTTCCCTCCTAAAAATGTGGAGACCTTTAGTCTTAGTGTGGAAATGGGAAAAGCTAGATGTGATCAACCAACTTCACCTCGATCCTTGACTCTCACTATCCGCACAAGGTGAGGAAGGCGGAAGTTGTGGTGGGGGCACCTGAATCATAGAAGCTGAGTTGGGATTGTGTGTGTGTGTGTGTGTGTGTGTGCGTGTGCGTGTGCGTGTGCGTGTGTGTGTGTGTGTGTGTGTGTGTGTGTTGGGGCCAGAGTATGCCGAGAGGGAAAATCATGGGCTCACACACTTGCTTCTTTCTGCCCTCAGTTATGTGGGCAGTCGCAGCTCTTCCAATATGGCCATTGTGGAAGTGAAGATGCTTTCTGGGTTCAATCCCATGGAGGGCACCGATCAGTTAGTAAGTCACTTCTCTTTTCTTCATTTACTAGCCCCCAGGGGACCTAACTTTATCATAAAAAGCTGGTGAGCCCTGGCTGGTTTGGCTCAGTGGTAAAGCGTCAGCCTGCTGACTGAAGGGTCCCGGGTTCGATTCTGGTCAAGGGCACATGCCTGGATTGCAAGCTCGATCCCCAGTAGGGGGCGTGCAGGAGGCAGCTAATCAATGATTCTCATCATTAATGTTTCTATATCTCATTCTCTGAAATCAATAAAAAAAAAATATTTTTTAAAAGCTAGTGAGCCCTAGTCAGTTTTGCTCAGTAGTTAGAGCATTGGCCTGCAGACTGAAGAGGTGTGCGTTTGATTCTGGTCAAGGGCATGCACCTTGGTTGCAGACTCAACCCCTGGCCTGGTTGGGGCACGTGCGGGAGTCAAGTAGTCTCTCTCACAATGTGTCTTCCAAAAGTGACCTGAACGAGAGCAATTAATGTTCTTCTCACCCATTTAAACACTAAAATGTAAGTCAGAGGAAAAGTATTATCACAGGAGAGCACAACGATGACATTTTCATAGCTACACAAGCACACACTTAATCACGGAGCTCA